GTTGGCGACGCCGCCCTCTCCCATTTGCCTCACGGTCGGACACCCTACAAGACCTATTGGCAACTTTCCGCCTAACTCTTCTGTTAACAATATACTGTTCCGTCTACTCTGACCTTCCTAAGACTTCTCCCATCTCCTAAAGAACCGGGTCTGGAAGATCGTAGGTGGTAGGGTTAACCATCTTAGCCTTAATTCCTATACTACCACTAAGAATTTAGACTACAGCAAGTGTGTTCATAAGCTGACAGCTGACTGTCGGTCAGAATGCCAGATTTCTTATTCCGTTCCCACCATGTGACGACAGGGGTAGTACACGTGCTACAGGACTGTCCGAAATTTGCGAAACTTTGATACTGACTCACAAAACGGCATTAAGTAGTATTATAATACTGATTATCGTACAGCCTAATCTCAATAAATAACGGTCGTATCAGGATGCCGGCTTTATAAAGAGTTTCCTTCTGACCGCCTAAATGAAGTATATTTTGTAAAATATGGCTACTGAAATAGGATACATTTAACCCGCTGATTTCCAATGCTTTTAAAAATGCAAATATATTTTGTAGATAACATGCATTAAAATATTCGTTCTTGTACGCGTTTGCTGACATAGCACGCCTTCTTTAAATTGTATCCTTAAAGAAAGGGTATCTTTCGTTTCAAAAACAACAATTTCTGAATTTTCGAATAATTTAGAAAGCAACTGACCGTTACACTTGAATGCAAGGTTTCAATGCGACATTCTATGTACATCCTGTCTAGGAAATCCATAGTTCAAACCTACTTAAGGCCGTAAATCACGGCATTTTACATGACTTCCCAGGTGTACTGTATGTACTACTATGGTAGGTGAATGCGAATGCGTAGTACTATACGCTATGCCATGTAATCACTCAAATACTGACTACTTTTTATAGATTTACCTAACACCGAAATACTATTCCACAGAAGCGCCAACTTTGAAAAGGGCGAAATTTCCGATGAGCGTTGCTCAAGAGCGGATTTGTTCACTGACGTTGTTTAGTAAATACGATGGCGTAAATCGAGCCTTACAAACCTATGGGCAGTTTATGCGTTTTTTGAAACCTAGCCGCTATTTTTATGTTTTCCATTGCCATTCAAATATTTATATTTACATTGGTTGGCATATTACGCCCATTATGCAACGTCATAAACCGATTTTTAACCGTCTTCGTTTATTCGAACCACATAAATAACGTCACTAGCGCACAACGCTAGCACCATGTCGAGGGAAGTCGAGTTTTGCCTACTTTCAAATGCGACTCATTAAAGCATAATTCTTCATGATGATGAGAAGTGCTGTGTTCCACCATTTTGCATTGTTTGTGATCCCCCGACGTTAGGTTGTTTGCAAGCCTAATTTTATCCACAGTGGATGGAAGACCTTTTTGCTGAAAAGTTTTTGATGATCTTTACAAGATTAGTATTCTTCTTCACATTAGATATACGAAAGTGGTATAAACTGTATGCAGGCAGATGGTACTGGACCACAGCCTTTCTTTCTTTGCTGTTCAACCTTAAATGCAACTTCAACAGCAAAGCATATGTCCCTCCTTTCCTACTTCACCCTTTTCCACGGGCAACTCGACGACTTTCCACATAAGGTGACAGCGAGAAAATAAACTGCTCAAAAAGGTACGCACTTGCAAAAGCCCCCAGCTACTGCTGCGGCTGCTCTCAATACGGCAGAAAATTCATTTTTTATGGGGTTAGAGAGCACGACCAAGCAGCTGTCCCCTGAGGTTTTGGAAACGTGACTTGTCAGCCGAGACCAGTAGACGCGACAGTATGCGCTGACAGCGGTGGGGGGAGGGAGGCACAATCAGGCCACTCCACCTCCACCTTAATTCAGATGCCTTTCTACGTCGTAGTGTTTTTGTCCCAGAATGCGAGCTGGGCAATCAGGCTTGCGTTCACGTCTGCGGGCACAGTTTTTAAGAAAAAAACCAGTTCGCTCAACAGAAGGTTAATCCGGGGCAGTATTCGACTGTTTTCGACGGTAAGGTTATTCGCCACTGGAGCGTAAACAACAGAGTAAATTCGTTTCTTTACGCTCACGCTAACAGTCGGCTCGACGAGGTGGAGTGAGTGGCGAGACGCATAAAACGTGATAACTGACTTCCATGAGACAGTGAGTGAGAAATGCGTTTTGCTTGGTGAATATCATTCAAAAGGCCCAGAAGGAAATGCCTCCATTCATCGCAATTAGAATGAAAATTAAAAAATGATACAATGGCAGGTAGGTTTGCAGAAGATTGAGGATATATTGCGGAGGTAGTTCAAGTTTTAATTTTTTAGACTTCTGTCTCTCTTGACAAGCAAAGTGTGGTGCCAGAAATGACTGTAGCCGGCGCCCAGTAGTGCTGCGTCCATCTTCCTTGTTTGCGACTAACTGCCTCAAGGTCCTCCACTATCTCAGTCAGCGCTTTCAGACGTGCTGACCTGCAGACACTTGATCGACTTCCAGTTGAATACACACACGTGCGTCCAGTCAGTAGCCGCTATCAAAGCGCCACTTGAATACGCCCCTTTCCCCTACCCTCGGCCAAAACAGCCTACGCCAGCAGACACGACACCCCTCGGGTAATGCCACACGCACCAACTGGAGAACATGTCAACCTCAGAAGAAGAA